CCGTACAGATCCAGAATGCTAGTGTAGGAGCTCTAACTCCTCTTCAATACCGGAGCCGATGAAACAGTGTCAGCAGTACGACAGACTAGTCTTTGGATTGTCTCTAGGTAAAAAGCGACAGTTGGTTGACAGCGTCAGATGGACCCAGAGGGTCAGTGAGTTCAGCTTTTATTCTGAAAGGAACCGTTGCTTGGTTGATAAAGTGCAACAGATTTTATCCAGCTTGTTGGTTCTTTGCTTAAAAAAGAAGTCCGGGTGGCCGGTCCGATACTTCTCTTAGAATACGGTGAACTGCAGTGAACTGTAGAGAACTCAGAGAACTGAACAAAGATAGCGTGGGGATGCATTGTGCTGCTGTTGTGTGAGCTGTCAAGACTGGCGGTTTTAACTGGTTTTAATCCTTTTTGGTTTTAACCGTTTATTTTTTTTAACCACTGTGAGCTTTTTATTTTATTTTTTACTTTTTAAATAACTTTTTGGAGCTCGACTGCTGTGTGTTTTTACCTGCTGTCCACTTCCACCTGCTTCATGCCTCTCACCTGTAGCCCTGGGTGTGTCGGCTGTGTGAGGCTGAGGCAGAAAGTTGTAGAACTGGAGAAGAGGATCTCCACGCTCCACCCAATCCAGGACCATGAGTGCGACGTCGACACCATTTTCTCTCAGACCTTCGCCACCACTGATGGGGCTCAGTTGGCGGATGCCGTCTCATGCCAGCCCAGCGTAACTGCTGGGGCAAATTCCATCTCCAGTTCTCCAAGCAAGCTCGGAGTGCTGGGGGCCTGCACAGCATTCGCGGCAGAGGAGGAGCACTGGTTCCATCTGGGGGCAAAGCCGAAAGCCCCCCTCAGCTCCACTCCCTTGCTCCAGGGTGCATGGGTCAAGGTTGGGTCCGGCCAAGGTTGGGGTACGCGGCCGCCAATCTCCTCCACCTAGCCTGTCCTTGTCCAACCGTTTTGGCACCTTGGATTTGGATTTTCCTCCTCTGCCAGCCCCTGGCCGTAACTTTGCAGAACCCTCCCAGCCGCTGCGGGACCAGCTGAACGGTAGTCGCCCTCCACATCGCATTATCCCCCAGACTAAAGCTGGGACCCACCAAGGAGCGCTGACCTCTCGTCGCTGCAGTCCTGGTGGAGCTCAGCCCATCACTCAGCAGGTCCTGGAAGGCACAACCCCCCAAACTGAAGCTGGGACCCACCAAGGAGCGCTGACTTCTCGTCGCTGCAGTCCTGGGGGAGCTAAACCCTTCACTCAGCAGGTCCTGGAAGGGTCCTCTGCCCAGCTTCAACCAACTAGCACACCCACACTACCACCACCACCACCAACCACTCTCATCATTGGGGACTCCATCATCCATTTTTGAATATTCTGAGTTATATGGATTTTAGTCAACATGTCACAAAGCCAACTCACAACAGAGGACACACCCTGGACTTGGTCATCACGCATGGCCTGTCCACCAGTGTGTCCTCTGTTATTGATTTGGCTGTATCTGATCACTACTGTGTATTTATTAGCATCACCAGTTTTATCCAGCTGGAACCCTCTGTGAGAACTGTAAGGAAGCGTCATCTCACCCCTGAAGTGGCTGCAGGTTTTCTTGAAGTTTTTAGAAAGATCCCTCCCACTCCAGTAACTGCCTCTTGTGATTTTATTGTCAATGATTTTAACAGTAGACTGAAATCCGCTCTCAACCTGCTCGCTCCAATTAAAATCAAAAGTCTATATTCAAAACGTGCTTCACCGTGGAGAAATGAAAAGCTAAAGAAACTAAAGAGAAATTGCAGGGTTGCAGAGCGGAGATGGAGAAAGAACAAAACAACTATAAATCATCAAATATATACAGAGCTACTTAAATCATATAATAACGCAGTGAGAAATTCAAGAAATGCATACCTTTCCAAACTCATTCTAGACAATAAACACAATCCCAGAATACTTTTTTCCACCATAAACAACATTTTAAACCATACATCCAATTCACTTCAGAAAACACCCTCAAATGCACTCTGTGAGGAGTTTGAAGCCCACTTCAGAGGGAAGGCAGACACCATCAGACGGAATATTTTATCCTCCATAAGTAATAAGGTTTTAGATAAATCTGAATGTGTGTCTATACCAGAGGAAACACTGGACAGTGTTGTCCTGGTAGAAGCTGAGACTCTTGATAAAGTTTTCTCCTCAGTGAGACCCACCACATGTGTCCTGGACCCAATCCCAACTTCGTTTTTTAAACAATTCTATGGATCTTTTAGTGATGAGATTTTAACCCTGATTAATTGCTCCCTTCAGACGGGGGCCTTTCCTGCTGCCTTTAAAAGGGCGGTGGTGAGGCCCCTGTTGAAGAAGAGCAATTTAGATTTTAATGAATTAAACAATTACCGACCAATATCTAACTTACCATTTTTAAGCAAAATTTTAGAAAAGTTTTTTTTAAATCATCTAAATGATTTTATTAACACTAATAACGCCCTAGAGAAATTTCAGTCTGGTTTTAGGGTGAACCAAAGCACCGAGACGGCCCTTCTAAAGATTTTAAACGATTTTAGAGTAAATTATGATAAACGGAAGTTGACAGTGTTGGTTCTACTGGATCTAAGTGCTGCCTTCGATACAGTAGACCACACTATTCTTTTAACTCGTTTAAAACAGATCAGCCTCTCTGGTGCTGTACATAGAATGTTCACATCCTACCTCACAAACAGGACTTTCATGGTGAGTTTAGATACCTGTTCCTCTAGGGTCCATGGGATTACATGTGGTGTGCCCCAGGGTTCAATTTTAGGCCCAGTGCTGTTTAATCTTAATCTTTATATGCTCCCTCTTGGCAGTGTCATCAGGAGACACGGGGTCAACTTTCACAGTTATGCTGATGATACACAGTTGTACATCTCCATGTTTCCTGATGACTCTCGGCCAATGGATGCACTTTTTAACTGTATTTTAGACATTGAATCATGGATGGCAGAGAATTTTCTCCAGCTCAACCAGGACAAAACTGAAGTTTTAGTCAGTGGTCCTGAAGCCCAGAGAGAGAAGCTTTTACCGAAATTACAATCTCTGTCTTTTAATCCATCTGAACAAGTGAAGAACCTGGGTGTGATTTTTGACTCTGAGCTGACTTTTATCCCACACATTAAATATATCACAAAAATAGGTTTTTATCATCTAAAGAATATCGCCAGAGTCCGCCCCATTCTCTCTCGGGCCAATACGGAGATGCTGATGCATGCTTTTATAACCAGTAGGATAGACTACTGCAATGCCCTGCTTTCTGGTCTTCCCAAAAAGAGCATCTCAGGTTTACAACTTCTACAAAATTCGGCAGCACGTGTCCTGATGAAGACCAGGAGGCGGGAGCACATGACACCAGTTTTAGAATCATTGCATTGGCTTCCCGTATGTTTCAGGATCAATTTTAAGGTTCTTCTAATGGTTTTTAAGTGTCTTAATGGTCTTGGGCCATCTTATCTCTCAGAACTGTTTTACCATATGAATCCTCACGGCCTCTGCGCTCCTCTGGCAGGCATCTCCTGGTCATTTCTAAAGTCAGGACACATACTCACGGCAAGGCGTCCTTCCAGTGTTATGGCCCTCACCTCTGAAACGAGCTGCCAGAGGACCTCAAGGCCACAGAGGACATTCATGTTTTTAAGTCCAGGCTCAAGACCCATCTTTTTAGGTTAGCTTTTATCTAAATATTTACTACAGTTTTATATCTCGTTTTACATGATTATATTTTATTGCTTACTTTGCATGTTTTATATGATTATATTTTAGCATTGTTTTCATTATTTAATATTATTATTTTACTGTCTATATGATTTTATTTATTACTTATTTTCTAAATTTTGTCCCTTAAATTAGCTCTTTTATTATATTTTTACTCATTTTAATCCAGTGTTTCCTCTGTAGGGACCCTCTGCCCCGGGAGCGGTGGTCGACTGTAGCTTCTTGGGCGCTCTACAGGTGGGGGTCTATGCTCCCCCTCCACTGAGCGCCCTGATTTAGTATGGAAAACCGGATGCTGCCGGGGCAGACGGCTCCTCTGGTGGTGATTCCTTGCCTTACCTTACTAGGCTCATCTGGACTCAGCCAAATATAATTTTTACGTGTGCACGTGTGTGTGTTCGTGTGTGCATGTGTGTGCTTGCATATGTCTGTTAATGTTTTTAACCTGTTATGGGAATCTGGGGTCATTTTGTAAAGCACTTTGAGTAGCACTTTGTTTAAAAAACGCTTTATAAATAAATCTGATTGATTGATTGGGGACTAGTTTTATTAATCTGGATGTTTTGATTTATGGTCGAATCAAAGTTAGCAGATTTATAAACACCACAGAGACTATGCCATGCTTCAGAAAGGAAGGTTCTGATCGGATGAGTCAAAGCAATGCGTCATGCGTTTACATTACGTGTCGTCAGGGTGTCTAGTGCAGCTAGATTAAAGTCATATTACTCATTGAAACTTATTAATCATAACATTGTCATTTCACAGATTGGTCAACAACATATTATTGACTAACACTTTGTTTGATTAGCTTTATTAAAAATAGAGTTCTTTGATTTATTAAAAGGAAAGAGTCCTTTGTCTTCATTCTTCTCTTGGGCTGGAAAGGAAGCAGTTTAGAAGCAAATGCATGACCTTGGGGCAATATCTCATGCAGATTAGTTCTTGCTGAGGAGAGGGGTAAAATGACTTTTAGGTGGAAAACAGTCATTTCATTCCGTTACACCTTCATTAGCTTATTTCTGCAGATGAAACTGGAGGACCTGAGTATTACTGATCACTGCTGTCGTATCTGCACCTAAAACGACCACTTGAGTAAAATGTGACTACAGTTACTAGATTACAGTAACTAGATCATTATTCTTCTTTGCCTGTTTGGTATATTACTAATCTCAAGAATGCAATAGTCTATCAATCACCACCAAACACTAACATTTTGTCTTCATATGCTTAAAACCGAAAGCCTGAGTGAGACCTCTTAGATGTTCTTGTACCTCCAGGAGTGGCCTGTCTTCAGGATTCTCCTCCTGCATCTGCTGCAGCAGCTTCTGGGTTTCCTCTCCCAGATCCGCTTCAAGCTCTGGCTCGATGACGAAGTTCAGCGCTGCAGAAAGCGTAGAGCCCAGGGAGTAAATGTGGCCCTGCAGCAGGAAGAGCAGTGGTTATCATGCAACAGCTGAGATTAAAGTTTCATACTTTGGGATCAAGCCCCCATAATATTGGTATGAAATTGAAGCCAACACGGAAGTGACAAAACCTGCAGTTCCACCATCATCCACTAGGGTCTGGTGTCAGAAGCGAGCAAATCCTCATGTTAAAAATACCATTCTCACAGCAGTAATAAACATGTTTACAGCCTGGTACCAAAGCCAAAAATTCTGTATAATTAATGAGCATCAGACCCACGTGACTGCAGAGCTAGCTCCGGGGAAAGGCCTCAGCCTGAGCCTCGGCCTTGCCTGAAAACTGTCCCGCCATTTTCAGTCTCTCACCTTAGACAAGTAGTTGTAGCATTTGTGCATTCCTTTTGGATATTATTTGTGCAATTGTTGGACAAAATGTGAGATGGGGTCATGGGGTTGGAGCGGACAATTCGCCGGCCATTTAGAGCGGGGGGGGGGGGGGGGGGGGGATTAATATTGAGACTTTTTGTGCTCTACATTTGATTTACTTCTACTCTGTACGGAAGAGGATTAGAGCCACTGACAAGAAAAGAAAGAGAATTCTTACTTTTGTCTCAGAATTCTGACTTTTAATCTCGGAATTCTGAGAAAAAAGTCAGAATTCACTTCATTTTCTTCTCAGTGGCCCTAATCCTCCTCCGTACCTCTGGCTTTACAGAGGGAACTGACCTTTGTTTCTCTATCATCTATCTATCTATCTATCTATCTATCTATCTATCTATCTATCTATCTATCTATCTATCTATCTATCTATCTATCTATCTATCTATCTATCTATCCATCTATCCATCCATCTATCTATCCATCCATCCATCTATCCATCTATCTATCCATCCATCCATCTATCCATCTATCTATCCATCCATCCATCTATCCATCTATCTATCCATCTATCTATCAACAGTAAAGAGTTACAGCTACATGTCACAAATGTCATACAGGAACTTTTAATCATAATTAATGTAAATAATTTAAATTCCATCTAGGGATGGGCAATATCATGTCATTCATAATATTACCAGTTATTATTTCCTGCCAAGAGAAAAAATCTATCATGTTAAGCTAACTTCATGATGTAGTTTCATCCACTAAACAGGATTATGTTCATGTGGGTCATCAGCATGAAGTTATTGAAGTTATCAAAGCAAACATGGCTGGAATCAGTTTTACCTGTAATCTGTGTCTCTAAGTGTGTGTGCTGCTGTAACGAGTGGATGTCCCCACTGTGGGACTAATAACATTTACTCTATTCTATTATATTCATTCATATCAGCCAGTAGGAAAAAAAAAAAACAAAAACAAAACAGGAATTCTGGCTTTTCCAGGCTTCCGTACCCGTACCTGGTTATGGAGGAGGGCTTCGTCTCACAAACAGGAAAAACACATGGGTGAAGCGGTGAATTAAACACTAGGATTCAATGCGTTACCAACTAATGTAGGAGAGGGAAAGTGTGAGTGAGTCACCACGGTAGAAAGCCCTGCTTGCTGTGAGCGAGGATCTGCGGCTGATGAGTGAAAACAAAAGAAAAACATTCGGGACTGAAGCTCCGTCAACGCGGCTGCATTTCCATGTCATTTTGGCGACATGCCTAGCCGCAGCTCACGGTTATGGGAGAACCAAGCAGCATCAGCAGGTGGAGCTCACCGCTCCGCCCATCTCACAACCAGAGCAGAAAAAAAGCACATCTGTTTAGATTATACAGATGGGATTATGTGTGTGAATTAATGCCAGTTAAATTATACTTAAGTGTTGTTTGTGTGCATGTTGTTCAGTAGCTAATACTATATTACAGTTTTTCTCGATTGGTTTGGCTCATTTCTTGAAACCGAGATGACATTCACAAAATAACATGGACAAATCTCCAAACCACCTTGCAATTGTTCACAACAGAATGTCAGTTTTCATTGGTTTAATCAAATTGCAAATGCTTTAGTACATGTCTCAAGTGACTCTGTGCTTCTTTTCAAATGATTATGTACAAGTAGCTACAGTTAGCACAATGAGCCCACATTTAGCACATTTCCCAAATAAATAGATCTTGCCGATCTAAACTGATTAGTTGATTTGTCAGTGAAATGGTCACTCACTCCACAACATATCAGCATGGTTTCATTGTGTAAGTCATCATATGCACAATTGTCTGTTCAACTGTCAAAATTAATCAAAGATATAATACCATGAAAGAATATCTTGGAACATTTGATAAAGTTATGACAGTACTTGACAATCAATCAGGTGAAATTAGAACTAGTGAAGGAGCAGCCTCCCACATCTCAGATGACCAATCAAACAGGTTGTTCAGATACCTGACAGGTGTTGTCTATGATCATGACTGCTGCCAAAAGTATATAGACAGAGCTTGGCCCGGGGCCAGTTTCATTTGCAGTGTGAACATGGAAGGACCTCGCCAAGTACAACAGCAACTTCCTGCTCGAGGAAGAGGAGGAAGAAGAAAAGGAAGAGGAAGAGGAGGAGTGAGAATGCGTGGAGGAATAGGGGGAAGAGGCCGAGGAGCACGGAGGCACCATGATGTCCCAGATGAAATCCGGGCCACCCTTATTGACCACGTTATAAACCATAGCCTCACAATGGCAGAGGCAGGTCGCCGAGTGCAGCCTAATGTGGCTCGGTCTACAGTCTCCTCCATCATCCAAACCTTTCGCAGGGAAAACAGGTACAGAACTATGCTATTGAACTATTCAGTGTTGGTGTGTGTGTAGGCCTAGTGTACTGTAATATCGTCATGTGATGTTATATGATACTATAAAAATGACAAAGACAGAAAAATGGAGAAAATACTGTGAATAGTATTCCAGTCACTGTGCAGTGCATCACACTTCTGGTACCATAGGACAGCAGTACAATTACAGTGGCAACTCATTTTGTAACAAATTTACAGTGTTGACCTTTGACTTGTATGTCTAGGATTGGACGACAGCCTCAAGTGGGTGGCAGAAGAAAACTTCTAAATGAACAACAAGAACGAAAAATATGCAACATGGTCATTGCAAATAATGCCATCACACTGAGACAGATTCGTAATGCAATCCTGCTAGACAATGTAATGTTCCAAAATATGAACTCTATCAGCATCTCCACAATAGACCGGGTATTGAAAAAACATCAGATGACCATGAAACAGATTTACAGGGTACCATTTGAGTGAAACTCTGACAGAGTGAAAGGGCTGCGGTACCAGTATGTGCATGTAAGTCAAATACTGGTTGTCTATCATTGTAACACTATTACAGTAAGACATGGTTACCACTGTTTTCTCGTTTTACGGTATCCTTTTCACTTTTAGAATGCAGCTTTGTGTGACTAGAGCATTTTGCCTAGAAATTGTCGTCAGTTTCCCACTCCCTGTTTGTACAGTAATTTAGATCCTCCCTGCAGTATCTGTCTCTACTTGACTGATTAGATTTATTTCTATTCTATTGTAGAGAATAATGGCATTAAAAGGCAACGAAACCCCTCACATCCTAGTGTTCGTTGATGAAGTTGGCTTCAACCTGGCCAAAGGTCGAAGGCGTGGCCGTAACATCATTGGCCACCGAGCCACTGTGGATGTCCCAGGCCAGCGAGGGGCAAATATAACAATGTGTGCCGCTATATCAGAAAGAGGTGTGGCCACACACATTCCCAGTTTAGGGCCCTACAATACACAAAAGCTCCTCAATTGTTTGGACCACCTTTATACTGATCTGATCCCAGAAAATGAGAGAGGTGTAGAAGGACCTCAGCTACCACATTATGTCATTGTGTGGGATAATGTGAACTTCCACCGCGGCCCACGCATCAGAACCTGGTTCACCACCCATCCCCGGATGCTAATGGAGTTTCTTCCACCTTACTCTCCTTTCCTAAATCCAATTGAGGAGTTTTTTTCAGCTTGGAGGTGGAGGGTGTATGAGCATCAGGCTCAAGACCAGAGGGCCCTGCTGCATGCAATGGATGCTGCATGTGAGGACATCACAGGGGACCAATGTAGGGGATGGTTGAGACATTCACGCCGTTTCTTCCCTCGCTGCATCGCACGAGAAAATATCTGTTGCGATGTGGATGAGAATTTATGGCCTGACAGAGAGCAGCGGGTCGATGGCCAGGAGGATGAGGATGGTGGCCAGGAAAGAGAGGGTGACAATGGCGACCACTGAAAATATTACTGTACTATTGTTCTGAAACCTTATTTACAGTATGGTAGGCTAGAGTTGTTTTTGTTTTTTGTTTTGTTTTTTGTTTGTGTTTATAACTGTTCACATTTACAGAATCCTGTATATGTTTTTTTTCACAGTATGTTCTCTAATGTTAACATTTCTTTGTACGAATGAAAATGTTTACAGTTTCCTTGAGTATGAGTGGTTAATTGGAGGCCGATTTTACTGTGAAATCTATTGGTTTTATTCATAGTGGTATTCTGTTGCTAGACCTGTGCCTCAGTGACACAACGCCTGAGCATTTTGACTTGCAGTGCTTAAACACTGCCAAAGGTATAATGCATTTTGGGGGCATTGACTATTTATATGGGAAGGATTTTTAGTTTTGACACATGGATAAACTCTTTTGGGAGAGATATGAGCTTTTGCAGGGGATCCATGGTGTTGTGCTAAACCATCCAGGTTATTTTGACAAAAGCACTAAATGAATGCACATGTGCCAAGGCAATTGAGAAGGATCTGTGCTATTTTGACTGTACTGACCTTTTATATGGGAAAGGAATCTGCTTTTGAAGCAGTGACGAAGAGTTTGGGGAAAGATATTTGATTTTGCTAGTGAGCTATAATGTTGGGTAGCACTGTCAGACTGTTTGGCCAAATGACCTTATGGTTTTGAGAATGTCATCTCGATTTCAGGAATAGAGCCAAACCAATTGAGAAAAACTGTAATATAACCTGTTTTATTTCCATAAGCCCTACGCACTGTGCGTGATGCGTGTTTGGGGAGCGCAGGCGCTGGTTTTGCGCAAGATATTGGAGGTGTGGTGTGAGAGCATATGAAGAGGGTCAAATGCATGTGTCTCATGCTCAGTGCGTGAGAGTTGGCAGCCCTAAAAAATGACTATTACAGTTTTTCTCAGTTGCTTTGGTGCATTTCTCACAACAGAAATGATCTCTGCACCACTACTAAGGCTCTCCTCAAAACAATTAGTGCAAAGTGCAAAACATGGTGGATAACTTGCAAAAGTGAGTCACTTCATCAAAAAGAAAAGTCATTTGCTCAAAATAAGTAGTCAATGCTCCAAAAGCAATTCCCTTTATCAAAACAGATAATATATTCATCAAAAGCAAGTACTTATATCAATCAAAGTGTCAGGGCTGTCACAACTACAAGTCATTACACCAGCACCTTTGGCCACAAATTCAAACGGTTTGAACATGTTTTCATTGCGACGTATTTATTTGCAGGTGCTTCCCAATGACACGTCAAGTCTGGACAGCATGCATGGTGTTGGATAAAAACAGATACTGTAATGACTTGACTGTGTAACATCTGGTGTTTTTAAACGAAAGTTCATCTTCATTTTATTTTTACTTTGTAGTTCCTACAGGGAGGTTTTGACCTCGGCCTGGCACCAGGACTGGTGCCAGGTCTTGTCATCAGTAGAACTCCCTTGAGAAAGTTGAGAAAGTCCAGACTACGACTGCTTTGTGGATTTTTGATTTATAACAAGCACCTGGAGTGTCTTCTTCCCGCCTGAGAGTCTGTGAGAACCTCAAATGTGTGTGTGTAAATGTGTGTGCGTTTATAATTTTGTGTGTCTGCCTTAATAAATACTTTCGGAGGACTTTGTCTGATGAGAGTGAACTGACGACCATTGTGTGGTGTGTATTCATTTGCTCTCCACTTAGCAAAGTCTAAATTGATGGTTGATTGTTGATTATTGGTGTTTGGTTTTGATCAACTGACTAATTACCCCCTGTGCTTTGAACTTTCTCTGAGGTAATCCTGGAGTGATAAAATTACCCAACACATGGCATATTGAAAATCAACACTTCATATGCACTCTTGATAATATTTAATTGAAACTGTTCACAGCATTGTGCAACTGGGGAAATACAGTAAAACAAACATTCTACAGCAAACATAAACTCACTTAGACAGTAAACCTTACTGCAGTAGTTATGAAACAAAAAAAAAAACTGAACAGACACTGCTGCATATCAGTCATTGATATCTAGACGCTCCCGTCTGTCTGCCCACATACAGTATTTTCATCAACATCACAGCGAATGTCAGCTCGATCGATGTGTAGCGTTACTAAGATCCTATTGTCTGCCCTTAACAGCTGCCCCTTCACACAGTAACAACGTGTAGGAATCGCCAAGGTCGGATGCTGGTTTCAGTATGTTTACATTCCAGAAGAAGAGACAGAAGAAGAGAAGAACGCTTTCCATTAATTAGTCAAAGTACTTTATTCGTGAGAAAGCTAATCAAAGTATATGTTGATCAATAATAATCAGGTGAATGATCTGTGAAATAAAGATGTCATGAGTTATGTGTTTAATGAATAAACAGGACTGCACCAGACAGACTGATCTACATTGACATGACACATTGTTCTCAACCAATCAGAACTTTCGTCTGTCGTAGAGCGAATCTGGGTTGTTTAATGAAGTTGTCCAATCCGGTTTAGTAAGATTTGTAAACAACTAGGGGATATAAAACAAGGCAACTCCATTTTATAGTCAGTTCCATTTTAACCTCAGCTCTGTTCGATCTGAGTTCCAAAGGAGTTACATCATACTCTCAACGTAGTTTTCAACCAGCTCTCGATCCATCACCGCCAAAGAGAGGTGCAGCCTGGCCAGATGTACTTTCTACTTTAAGCTGAGAACTGTCAAGCTGGAGATTTCCGTCGTTTGAACAACAAGACGACGTCCCTTCAAAATAAGAGTGAACTCGCTGACGCCTGCCGCTGCTACCGGAGTCGACCCTCAGACGGGCTTTGTAGTGCTGCGACCGCTGTTGCACCAGCTCCAGTACACCTGAAGGTCCGAGGACCTGGCAATTCCTGATCTACACGGGAGGCTCCACAGGGTAAGTGGTTACGGCAAAATGGCTGCTCATGTCATCAGCTTCTGAAGCCTCGTGATAGCCTAGTCATAACAACCAGATTCGCTACGTCAGCCTAGAGATCCTGAACCCCCCCCCCCACACACACACACACCAACACGATAACATTCAGATCCATATGCATACATCACAGAGTTAGTCCTGGTAGATTGTAAGAATTTATAATTATAGAAATTAAAGATTCTTAAACGATCCCAACTCTCTCTTTTCTTGTCTCTCAGTCAATACAAAGTGTTTAAGTAAACTCCCTGATGATAAAAACAACCACTTCTGATTATAATATTTAGATCTAATTACAGTGTATAAATATACAAACTACAGATCACTACAGATGCATCGGGGAAAGTATCTTCTGGAGTGTTGAATCCACCCTCTCAGGACTCTGCTGTGATGTCATCAAAAGCTGCATCCATAGCTGCTAGCAGGGCCATTTGGGTATGTGGATGCCTGTCATATACCTTCCACCTCCAGGAAGAGAAAAAACTCCTCAATTGGATTTAGGAAT